TTTGATTGTTCTTATTTTTTTATATCTATCTTTCTTTATCTTATTTGTGAAATGCGTGTAAGAAACTTTCCTACGTGAGCTTTCAAAAAGTTTTTTGTTCAATAAAACTGTTCTGAAAACCAGTCATAATGTTTTAATTGGGGGGGGGGGTGACCCCCGTCTTATGCCATGTTTCAGGATTGGAACATTGCAAATATAGTGGTGTCCCTCAGGGTTAAGTCCTAGAGACCTTGTTCTTTTTTTTTTTTTCTCGACGTGAAAACGACTGGTTTTGTTATCGTTGCAAGTTTCTTACTGATAACATGGTAGTTATGCTTCTGACACAAATTAATTTGCTAATTTCTTGTTTCACACAGAAGTAATTTGCCATTTAACGAGGGTTACTGTAAAGCAGTGCATCTGAGACAATGACCGACATGAGCAGCATATGTGCCGAAAGAGTTTTTTTTGTTTTTATTGCATTAGATAATTGCTGTAAATTACATGAAGTATAATATTGTGGGGTGCCAATTTTCCTCATTCATAATAACCAGTCAATATTCAACAAGATCACTGCCGCGATGCCTATACATTGGATCCATTGGTATTTCGACCCAACCTGGACAAATAACAAAACGCCATTGTCTCACCCTGGGTGCCTTCGGGGTCTTCTGGAATTTAGAGACGACACTGAAAGCACCCGCTGCTTTAATAGACATGTTTACCTAATTTTGTGTCGATTGGTGAAAGTGATGTCAGGGCTGAATTATTTTGTTTGTTTTCTAACTGTGCTAATGCATGGCCCTGGACAATCAGCTCGGCGTGAGAGCGTGTTGATATAATTGGCTCCCACGTTGCGTAAGTGATCGAACTAGTTGGTATGGAAATTGTGGAGTCACCATGTTCATGTTGATTTGTTGGCTTTTTGCCATTTTTACTTGTTCCAACCAGATTGATGACTTCAGCCAAAAAGCTTGGCAAGTTTCCGTCACCCTGTGTTGAATGCCTGCTTCTTATTGGGGTTCATTTCAATTTTCCTGGGAGCAGTTTGTCAAGTGCTACCCCAAAATGGCCACTTCAAACATAAATGATTGAATTCCTCTTCAAGTTTTCGGCATGGGTTGTTGAGATGCGTCTTCTCGCAGACCAGCGAGAAGGTTCTTGAGACTTTTTTTCCTGCATCCTATCACACCAATTCCAAATCCAGTAACAGGGGCTGATTTTTTTTTTTCTGCCAAGTCTTGCTTCGAAAAGTCGTGTTTTTCGTAGGATTTTTGCCCAAAACAAAATGGCTGCCCTCCTGCTCAGTTTGGGACATACAGTGCATCTTGTCATAATACACGTATTATTTTATTAGTTTTCCTGTATTCCCAAGCCACTAGCCGCCGCGATAGAGCAGGTCAGTCAACGTCTTCGCTTCCTTCCTCCACATTTCCTCCCAACGCAACCTCCCCCCCCCAGCTGCTGCTGCCGCCATCGCGTCACTTCTCGGGCAAAACCAGTTGCACTCGTTAGTGTCGGCGCTCGCTCTTTGTGTGGTGGGGGGAAGGGAGGCAGACGGGCGGGAGCCCAGGCGGGAGGAGAGCCGAGCGGCGGCGTCACGCGCACTCGAATGAAAACCACCACTCCGCCGCTTTGATGTTTTCCCGCACAACTGCTTCCTCTCGCTAGCCGCTACAGAGTGCCCTATATTGCGAGGTTGCCATTTTGTGGTGCTGTTGGAATGCGTCGTGAGTAGAGATTATCACCTATATAAGTGCCCTCATGTAACCCACAATGCATCTTGGAAAAAAAGTGAGAAACCGACGGTCACTAGAAAAGTAAAATAACCAGTGACGTGCCAAGTCACAAAAATATTCCGGTTCTTGGGCATGAAGACTTTCTTGGGAGTTATTCACTCGTTGGCTAATTCACTTGATGTGTGCATGAATCTGTGGTCCGTGACTCAAATAGAGAAGTGAATTGGCCATTAAAACAAGAATCCCAAATCAGAATTCTTGGGAGTCAAAGCAGAACGGCTCATGCCAAAACAACAATGCTAACCGGTGCGTAGCCTACAGTGTTTGTTTTTCAACTGGTTTGCCGGCGTGCTCGTGTCAAGCTACGTCAGCGTGGATTTCGAACCCCGCTTCCATCGATCCATCTCGCGAATCTCTGTCAAACAAGATGGATGAACTTCTTCCGCGTTCTGCTGCGCTCTGCTTCACCGAAACCCGTCTCAGCGACCGCCACCAGGACGCGACACGGAGCTATCAGTGAAATCAAAAGGTGCTGGAATATGCTTCTATATCAACAAAGAACGGTGCACGGATGTCACGAAACTCAACGTGCACTGCAGCCAGGACTTGGGAGTCGCTGTTTCTAAACTGTAACGCTTTCCACTCACCACATGAGTTCGCCTCTACCTTAATTCACACCCCAGGCCCCATTTCCTGGTCTGGAGATCCCAAAACAGGACGTGAGACGGCTCTTCAAGCAGCAGCAGAAGAAGAAGAAGGCCCTGGGGCCCGATAAGGTGTCCCCCTTTCCTACCTGAAAGTCTGCGCTGACCAGTTGGCTCGGTCAAGACTGTAGAGATGATTGGTGGACTTGAGGAAACATCCTTGTGGCCACAGCTGCCCCTCACACGATCCAACTGCCCTCCGTCAAGCGTCGAGACCTTCAAGTGCCTGGGAATCAAGGTCTCTCGGGACATGAAGTAGGAGGCCAACATGAACTCCGTCCTGAAAAAAGGCCAAGCAGAGGATGTACTTCCTGAGGCTGCTGAGGAAGCACGACCTGCCGCAGGAGCTGCTGAGACAGTTCTAGACAGCAGTCATCGAATCAGTCCTGTGTTCGCCTATCGCAGTTTGGTTCGGGTCCGCCACAAAAAAGGACAAAATCCGACTGCAACGGACAGTTGCGGCTGCAGAAAAAAATCATTGGGTTGTTAACAAGACGGCGTCAATCACTTTTTCACATGGATTTTATTTTATTTATTTTTTGTTGGGGTGCCTTAAATTGTCGTGTAGAAATGGCATTTTGTTTTTACTTGGGTGGTCTCTGTGTGAGATTAAAATTGGTTTGATGAACCGAAACCTTTATATGTGCTCAATATGGAAAGAACACAGAAATCAGGAAGGGGGCAAATCCCATTTCACAGCACTGTATAAAAATCCCTATCTGGTGAGGAGGGAGTAGGGAATCTTTGACCTTGGTTCCAGCCTCCAGCGTTCAGGGGGAGGGAAGGGGTGGAAGCCATAATACAAGAAAGAAAGAAATAAAACATGACCGAAGTGCAAAAGAGGACGAGGAAACCATGGGTCATAAACGTGGCTGCTCTGCTCGCACGTGTTGATTCTCGCCAACCTCCTCCCCCAATAAGCAACAAAGCAAAGGGGCTAGCGGTTAGCAGCACGATAGCTAGCTGCTCTAAGAAAATGTTTCATCGCATTACGTGTGACATGTGATCTGTTTTCATAGTTGTCGGTGTTTCCATTCCAGGACTTCAAATGTTAGCATTTTGAGGCTGAAAGCTGCTATTGTCATTGATCAGATGAATATGTAGCCTGCATGTTTTATGGCTGCCGTTTTCAAATGCTAACATTGGTGTTAGCATTATTGGACTCCACGCTCTCATGGTTTATCGGGTGAATGTATTTGTACTTCTTTTTCAGTGTTTGCAAACATATTCTAAGCAACATGGTTAGCGTTTTCAGAATTTAAAATACTGTCGTGTAAATTTGCTCAGTCAAAGACAAACATTTTCTATGTTAAAAATGCGAACAATGTTAACGTTAGCTGTAATGTTAAAAGGCCTTTTGTTTGTTTGCTTGCAAGTTGTATCATTAATGGTAGGTAACGTTTTCAGGATAGAAAACTCTATCGTCATGTTCTTATTCGGATTCCACAAAATGGTGTCGCACTCAACAGCCCCTGGCATCTCCAATAATTCGGTGCCTGAAATGACTCTTGGTGATTTTGAGTTGAGAACCTCGATTTACTTTGGATCACGTGACCGACCGTGCTTGTGTTTTTGCGTGCGCTTTTGCGTAATGTTTGTTTTTGTGTGGACATCTCGTGTCACGTACGGCCGTGGCTCTTTCGTGACGAGCTCAGCACATTCGCACTGCTGACGTCCAACGCCATCAATGATTCATGACACCGCGAAACACACACACACGCGACCGCCGTGTGTGCGTGTGTGTGCGTGATTGTGTTTTCGGGGTATTTTTAATTTTCATTTGTGTTTGTGAATGTGTGTTTTCGTGTGAGATTGTGTGTATATTTGGGTTTCCTGCTTTTGTGTTTCTGTGCATTCGTGTTGACATGAATTTGTTTGTGTAGGTTTTTTTTTTCTGAAATTTGTGTCGGTGTGTGCCTGCATGTTATGTGAATTTGTGTGTTTGTGTCTATTTGTCCTTTGTGTATGGTTGTGTAAATAGTGCTTTTGCCCTCTCCCCCTTGGTTGCATTTTTCCACTGAAGATTTTTTTTCCCCCCTAAAGAAAAGACCCCAGGATAGTCCTATATCTGGGTTGTTCTCAGAAATCACCGTCCAGGATCCAAGAGTGTGACATGTGAGCCCAAAACTGAACTTGTGCTAGACTATTTCAAAATGATACAGTGCAAAAGTAATGGAACAGCAAGGTCCTCAAACCTTAAACCTAATTTAACCACAAGTAGACAAGATGAACATCATAGCGCTAAGGTGTGATTTCGGTAAATTAGAAAAGTCCAGGTCCAAACCTCATCATCCGCCATTTTCATTCGGTTTGGGTGTCAAACCTGGTTTTAATCAAATACAATGTTTTGCAAGAAAACTTTTTCTTTTATAGCCAAACCCTGTGTGTGTGTGTGTGTGTGTGTGTGTGTGCGCGTGTGCGTGTGTGCACGTTTACTTTGTTAAGGCAGATGTTGGCCCAAAACATGGATGCACACAGCATCAAGACTCCACATAGCGCAACTGTTTGGGTTAGCACCTGGCTTGAAAGGGGCTGTTGACCTGAGATAAGTAGGGACATAGAGTCATGCAACGCATGGTTGGTAGAAAACGATTAGTGCAAAACCTTTATTGACAATCACTTTGTCTTCCTGATGCGCGACAGCTTTTGATTTTTGGATACACAAGAAATGGCCATTAAAAAAAAAAAAAAAGTCAACCGGCGAGCAAACAAACGCTTTTACTGGTCCAGGTCCAAGATCTTTGGAGGTTCCTCGGGTTCTGCCGGCTCCGCCCCCTGACCGCTCTCCTGCCATGTGGGAGGGGAAGTCAATGTCAAGAGGAAGGAGTCACAGGACCGACCGATCGCTGGTGATGTGAGACTGACAGTCGGGCGTCTAGACGACTCACCCCAAAAGGTTCGGCGAAGGCTCTGGAGCCGCTGTACAGAGGATTGGGGATGGAAACCAGGGCGGGTTTGGACGGGCCACCCGACGGATTGTCCTCGTCGTCATTCTGATTCGCGAGAGGAAGAGTCGTTAGTTGTTTGCGGCTCGATGACCTTGTACAAGCACAACAGTCTAAAGTCTCCATTTTAGCGCTGGGCGATATGACGATATGTATCGTCGAGACGATAAAAAAGATGCTCTGGCGGCAGCTCTCGCGTCTATCGTCACGTGTCCTCGACTAATAGGGCAGCTGCGACAATTGACAAGCCCACCAGCCCCACCCCCGTGTATGCACGCGTGCGTCTCACTTTGAAGTACTGAAATCTGAAGGCATCCGTTTTGTGTTTGAAGACGTAGTATCCGATCCCTGCCGCCACTCCGGTCAGCAGCAGCGACACCAAGATGGCCGACACAGTGCCGCTGGAGTGGGCGTGGCCGCGTGAAGCGTGGCGGGGAGCCTGGATTGGCCACCAGAGAAAAATACGCACACACATCAATCGACCGGATAACGGCACTTCAGCGAAACGAGCTGGTAACCATGACGACCAGAAGACAGACCATTCAGGAATGATTTCGAGCAGTGGTTCCAAGTACCAGTGGGGGAAAAAAAACAACAACTTCGCACTTCAACTATTACCATTCTGATCAACAAGAACAATTATTGGCCAAACATATATTTAGCACTATTCTAAAGTGCTGTAACAATTTCCACATGTGCTTGAATAGAAAAAAACATGAAAAATCTGAATAAAGGTTGATGAACAAATTTCAAGAAAAACATGTCAATGCATGATTGAACTGAAAGGTGAAATATAACTCAACGACCACTCAGTGACTCAAACCAATTTAAAGGAACGGACGGTGGCCATTGCATTTCAAAATGGCCGCCAAAACGCGTGAATGACAATTGGTCCAGGTTGACAGAAACCTGGTCGAAAATTTGGAAATGACAAAACTAGATTTGGGTCACACGTCCATTTGTTTTGTCCATGTTTAACAAAAGAAGGGAAATTTGAGGAATTCTCTGTTTATGCATATTTATATTTTTTATATAGAGCAAACGTACAGTGGTGCCTTGAGTTACGGGTTTCATTCATTCAGCTATGTTTATGCATATTTATATTTTTTATATAGAGCCAAACAGTGGTGCCTTGAGTTACGGGTTTCATTCATTCAAAATGATTTTTTGCACTGAAAATAATTGGAAAGCACATTCTTCAGTTCAAGCCTTTCAAAAAATGTGTTGTTTTTTTAAAGAATTTTGTTAAAAAAAAAAAATTTGGCCCCACTTTTTGCTTCAATTCAAATTGACATTCCGCTACTCCTTCACAAACAGTTTCACAACTGACACCATGAGATGCAGTCATACGAATCATTCTTTACAGAGGATAAAGAATATATGCCAGTGAGTAGATATCGTCTGTCTACGTGTGTTCAAATAGCTGTTGCTCAAACCACCACATACTGTAGATACTATTGGTTAGCCTCTCGATGGCGTTTTCCATTGTTTGTTAGGATTAAGCTAAAAGGACTTTAAGCCAAAGCCATGTAGTTGTTTTTTCTTTCTAAATTAATAATCATTGGGCTCACCTGAGCTGACGGAGCCGTGAGCGGCGCGTCGATCACGTGAATGATCCCGTTGACCGCCGGGATGTCCCAGGCCAGGAGGAGGCGCTGGTTGACCAATTTACGACTCTGAGGGGCAAAGTGGTCAGAGACAGAAATTGAAATTTCGTTGTGATTAATGGTGCGCGCCCTTCAATGGACCCGACCTCGTTGTTGCCGTGGGTAACAGACAGGTCGAAGCCAAGCATGGACGGGATGACGTCTTGGTGTCGCAGCTCCTTAAATGTTCGTTTGACGTGATTGGTGGAGATGTGATACTCCACATCTCGACCCGAGAGCACCTGACACGCACGGGGAAATAAAACAAAGACTTGAAATCACCCCGTGAGTAGAAATGAGTCAGGATTATCACCACCCGGCACTGAAAAGAAATAAACAGATTGACTAGAAATAATCCAGAGAGTCAAAAGTCTTGACTATCGCCACTGGGTGCAATAGAAATAAACAGGAAAACCAAATGATTCCAGATATTTAAAAAATATATTTTTGATCATTGCTATCATGCGCAACACACAAAAAATTGAAATAACACAGACTCAAACTTCATCCATGATCACCACCAACTGTGCACGATAGAATTAAATAGAACGACTAAAATGAAACCATCGAGTGAAAATGGTCATGAGCATGCCACAAAAAGAGTCAAAACGATTCACGATCGACACCATCCTCAACAATAGAAATGAATGAGGAGAAATCATCCCAAAGCCAAAATGATTCAAAAGCACCGGCCGGCGCCGTGCCCAACGGGAATAAACACGAGCCAAAATAATGCGCGCAGTCAGAAAAGGTGTCGGGGCGGTCTCACTTGGCCGGGGGTGAATCCGTCATTGTGGGGCACAAATAGTGTCACCTCCGACTGCCTCTGAGTCAAAACGTCCACCAGACGCTGGCCCTGCGCAGACAAACTGCTGTAGTCCAACAAGGACTGAGGCGGGGGGGGGGGGCAAAGAAAAAGATATGTTGAGATGAAACGAAGGTGCTTCCACGATTGAAGAGAGTCAGGCGCTTCACCTTGTAAAAGACGGTGAAGTTGCTGTAAGACCCCAGGACGTTAATCAGGACGCCGTTGCAGAAGATGCCGTCCCCATCGAAGCCGTCCGTGCACTTGCAATCAACGTCTACGCGCGTCAACGGCCGGCAAAAATCGCACAAAAATCAGACTTTTCCCACGATTTACAATTGACATTTCTCATCCTTCCAAACGGAACCTCCTGTTCTGATTTGGAGACGAGCGGCACCTGAGAGTCTGTAGCAGTAGGCGTCGTATGTGCTGCTCTGATCCACAGGATCCTTGTAGAGGACCACGCCCACGTGGTTTTCGCCGCACCTCATGCTCGGGTAGCGCGTGGGGTACCCTACCTTGCCGCCCTCCATCCAGCCGGCCACGCACAGGTGCATCCCCAGCTGCAAGCGCAGACGGCGACGTCAACAAAACAACCTCACCGGACGCAAGAACTTGTCGACGTCAGAACATTTACATTAAAATGTTTGTCACTGCCCGAATTGCCCTCCCATTTTTTAGTGTTCCACATTTTCCAAGACAACCGAATGAATACAGATCGAGCATTTTACATCTTGACCTGCTTCGTCCACATTTCTCAAGTGCTTTAAAAAAAAAAAAGTATTTAAATTTGGAACTAAATCCTAACTATAAACAAGCCAATAAATTAAGCCCAGAGACAACGAAGACAGTGTAGTTGCGTCTGACGTCTCCATGGAAACCACAGATGTGTGCATGTGTGTGTGTACCTGTTGTGCGTCCCCCAGCTGTGTGAGGTTGGCCAGCACGCCCCCTTCGGCCTGGCAGGCGGCGTCCGCTTGACTGAAATTCATCTTGTACTTCCCTTCCGGCGAACGGACGTGGAACACTCCCGCCGTATTAGCTAGAAACACAAGCGCCATGTTGGAGTCCAGGTTCAGTGCGCAAGCGTAACGATGTCTCCACACCACCGGTGACCAAGGCAACGCAAAGCCGCCCCCTCCACACCGGGCGGTACAGCGGTCATTCTCATGTAACGATGTCTCCACACCACTGGTGACCAAGGCAACCCAGTGGCTGCTGAGCAAAGCCGCCAATAAAAGAGCGCAACGCCACCCCCCCTCCACACCGGGCGGTACAGCGGTCATTCTCACTCGTTTCCCTTGTTACAGTGTTGCCATGGCAATTACACTCATGAGTCAAGTCGATGCGTGACCACGGCAACAGAAGGGTATGACTGTCTCCTCCTGGATATGACTGTGTTACCATGGAAACAAGTGACAGTGTATCTGGGGTTTGATCGTAATAAAATCATGGTGTACTGTTTCCATGGTAACAGAGTTCTGATTGAAATGTTACAGTGGTCACTGGGAGGGTGACCAGATTGTATTACGTAATAGTTACAACAGATAAAAGTCACAAGCATGTATCTGGGGTTTGATAATAATAAAATCATGCACGTGGTGTACTGTTTCCATGGTAACGGAGTTCTGATTGAAATGTTACAGTGGTCACTGGGGGGTTACCAGATTATATTACGTAATAGTTACAACAGATAAAAGTCACAAGGTGTCTGTTACCATGGTAACAGAAGGGTTGCCTGCTGCACGCGTTACCACGGAAAAAAGAAGTGTACGAATTTCCAGAGTGTGTTAAGTGATTAAAATGAAATCCACAGATGTCATTAGCAGGTTGGAAAACAAAACAAAACATCACATAAGTCTTTTGTCTTGGTGATTTCTTTTTTGTTTTTGAAGGCTCCCACGGTAACTGGAGTTATCAGAATGTGTCAAATAAAATGAAACCCATAGGTTTGATAGGTTACAACAAAGCGTTTTACCATGGTAACACAATTCTGGAAACAGTACCGTGGTCACAGAGGGTAATTCGTATGGGAGAAAAGTCAAAATAGATGTATTGACAGAAGAAAGGGTCACATAACTACTGTCACCGCGGTAAACGATATCTCGGTTAGGGGGATAAGAGATCTGTTTCCGCAGTAACCGATTCCATGTGGCCACGTTACAGTGGTTACAGAAGTCATTCATACGTAATACAAGTCATCGCGGCAATGTCGCTATGGTAACAGACACCTTATGGAACGGTTATGACCATGGGAGATTTGTTGCCATGGTGACAGACATCTTGTGAAGCTGGCGGCAGGGTGTACGTGAACGCAATCCACAGGGAAACAGAGCTCGTCACTGATAAAAGTCACAAGATGTCTGCTGTCATGGTAACAAGCATCTTCTGGAAAAACGTTACAATGGTAACCGTCTTAATGTTGTTCCAGTCATTACCGTGGTAATGCAGGTCCTTGCAGGTTGCCAAGGGACTGCAGCCGCCATTGTCCTCCAGGCAACGGTCAACAGGGGGCACCACTTTGTCCAGGCACTGAATCCCGTTGCCGACGTATCCCGGCAAGCACTCGCATTCCCGCTCGTTCTGAAGGGATGACAATTAGTAACATGGATCCTTTAAAAAAAACTGGACAATGTGAAATACAGTAAAGCCAGATAACAAAGCTATCGCTGGTACATAACGCTGGTCTTCCTCAACTCTAACGTGAGAGGAAATGTTGGGCGGCAACTTCAAATGCCAATTTTGAACACTTACTATCGGATGTTAATGTCACAGGTTAAGTTGAGGCTAACCTTAGAGATAACATTCGGACCTGACTTCGGAGTCTAACACTGGAAGCCAACATTGTCGTGAATGTTGGAAGCAAAGATTAGAGGCAAAGATGAAGCTAACATGAGAGATAACGTTAGAAGCTGATTTCGGAAGCTAACGTCGGAAATTAACACTTGTCTTCCTCAACTCTCATGGTCGAGGTACCGTTGAAGCTAACTCTACAAGCTAACATTGAAATTTAACTTCAGAAGATGATGTTGAAAGTCAACGTTGCAAGCTAAGATTACCGGTAAAGTTCACGCTAACATCAGTGGTCACATTGGAAGCAGACTTCAGAGGCTAACGTTGGAAATTAACGCTCGTCTTCCGCTCGGTAAAATTGAAACTAAGACTGAAAGTTAACTGCAGCAGCTAATCATGTTGAAGGGCTAATGTTGAAGCTAACTTTGAAGCGAACGTCAGAGGTAAAAAGACATTAGATGTAATGTTGGATGCTAACTTTGGAAGTCGTTGTACAATGTGTTTAAAAAGTGTGTTTTCAGTTCTGCCTTGTGCAGGAGGGACATACTCAAGGCTTAAAGTACAAAATAGGCAAATAGTGAGGCTTAACCGTATACGTTTGTACCCACCGGGCCTGTAAATTTGCAGGATGCAAAGTCGCTGCAGCCGCCGTTTGTCTCCTCCACACACCTGGCAAACACATCAATCATTTTATGAGTGGTGAGCGGTCAGCGTCAAAAAGGCGCGCTTCTGCTGGCCGAAACAACATCACAAGCAATGACATACATTACCAGCGTAAATTTGAATATATGGTCCAGGAAACGGTATCAATTTATTCCTAATCATCTATTCTTTTCATTTGGTTTCTCCAATTATTACACACACGTGCACAAAGAGAGCGAGAGATACATTCCTCGTCCTATAAAATATACAGTAAAAAACATTTTTTGTTGCCGTTCACCTGTTAATGGGGTCACAGGAGTAGCCGTCACCCTGGTAACCGCTACGACAGGTGCAGTTGACCCGCAGTCCCATCTGGGTGCAGTTGGCGTCCTGGTGACAGCCGCCGTTATACTCGCCGCATAGATCCGGAGCTGCGAAGCGTTTCACATCAGTCAAATGAGCCAAATTGAACATGAGCAGCGTAGCGTTAGCTTGCTGCTAAAGGCTCATTTGTGAGGCCAAGGTCGAGCAGCCGAGTGGCTTTGATTCCTTGTCAAGTCTAATGTTGGTCATTTGTTGCTAGGCAGCATTTGGAAAGCTGCTTGAGCAATTATTCGCTGTCCTTAATATCCAGTTTAGACGACCCTTCTTTGGCCCCGTGAGTAAAACAATTCATCACGCACCTTTGGCTGACTAGTAAAAACCTATAAATTATTGATTACTGATAAATTATTGACAATTACAAATAGCTGAAAATGTATTATTTGACTAATTAACTCATTCACTGTCATGGACGATTGTAGTGGTGAAACTGTTTACTGTCGGTGACATTTAATTTCATCAGGGTCGTCTTCCCAACGGGTGGAAGAGGCTCTCGCGCTTGGATTCAAACCCCTGACCTCGGAACCGTGAGTCAGATGTGCTGAATTTGCACAGTTGAATGAAGGTTTTTTTTTTAAAAAAGTAACGTTGACTGACACTCACGTGGCTCGGGAGCGCAGAAAGTGCCGTTGCCCTGAAAACCAGGTTTGCACTGGCAACCCACCTCTGGAAGACAATCGGCCTGAGTGTGACATGGATGGCACTCCTCGGGGATGGAACCTACACACACACACACACACACATCCAGGAACATGCATAGACACGTACGCCCCCACACTAAGTATTTGTAAATATAAGTGCCCAGTCCAAGTATTTTTCTCTGGCCACCAACATTGACAATCGAATGATTGCTCTGTATTAAGTATAAAATGGAGGAAAGGGTGGATCAGAACGGTATCACTCACCCAAGTCAATTTCGCAGCGCTCGCCCTTCCAGCCTGGCCGACACACGCACTGGCCCGATCCGTCCATGCCCTCATCACAAATTCCCTGTTTACCACACTCGCACGCTAGTGCGCACGCACACACACACACACACACACACACACACACACACACACACACACACACACACACAATTAAAGCCACTCATTCACACGCAAACATGCACAAAAGTAAATTAACACACAATCAACTGCACTCATGAAATTCTGTATTGTGCTTTTTTTATTTGAAAAAAAATCGCAACCAAATTGACCTGCAATATTTTGTTTGTATTTGTAATAAAATAAAAATTGGGAGGGACAAAAATTATTTAAATAGCACCACCACATAAAATCTAACTCTTATTCGAATGTTTTTTCTGTCACAAATATATTAAATAAGGAGGATTTAAATGTATTTTTATTTTATATTTAGAGTAAAATAGAACAGATAAAAAAAATGAATCGAATATGAAAGAAAAACTAAATTTGGACAAAAGTTGAGAGCCTCCAAATGTTGCCAGCTGGTGCTGTGGACACGCGCGGCGTGTGACATGAACATCAAACCTGTGCAGTTGGCGCCGTAACGTCCCGGCGTGCACATCTCGCACGCGTCTCCTTGGAAGCCGGCGGGACAATTGCACTTTCCTGTGCCGCGTAAGCCGTCGCTACACTCGCCGTGGCCACTGCACGGAGACTCCACGCCGCCTGGACACACTGCAAGGACAGACAGACGGAAAGTGACAGAGAAAGAGAGAGACAGACAGAGAGATGGTGAGAAAGAATGCTTTCATTAAAAAAAGAAAAAAAAAAGAGAGACAAGATGAATCATTTCAAACCGCCATTAATATGCGTAATAACCTCTACATTTCAACTGGAAAAAAAAAAGTTGAGGCAGGAAGTCCAAATTAACAAGATAGATGTGGTTGCACAAATGTGCACACCCTCTTCAAATCAGGCATGTGGCTGTGTTCAGACTAAACCAGTCAGATTCAAACTCATGTTAAAAATGGGATTCGGCACACAACTGCCACCATTTCAAGTGCCTCTGTTTAACCCCCACATGACGTTCAGGTGGTCTAGTAGGCTTTTCCTGACATTTTTGCAGGCACATGTTACAGCACCAGCCATCTCGAACAGTTAAAATAAAAATAAAAAAACAGCATCTGAAAACAAAGTCCCTTCAAACAATTAATTAACATAAAAACAGGAAACACAACAAAACAGTAAAACAATGCCAAGTCTCAAGTGTTATCAGTGAATATATACAAAAACTGGACATCACTCTGGTAAAAGGATTGTATTTTTTGGGGGGGGTGGGGGGACCAGGGGGGGCAATAAGAAAACTGTTCAGGGAGGCTGCAACAGCATGACAATGTGTTTGCAGGTCTGGGCTATGGGCTAAGGTGGCAAGACAGAAGCCTCATCTTCCAAATGGCAGCATAGCAAAAATAAAAAACCTGCAGGCTTCTACTAGAAAGAAAAAAAATGTTGGTATTCAGAGGCACTTTAAATGGTGGTTGCAAAATTCAAGCTTCTACCGAGGCAGCACGTTCGGTTGCGGCTAACCCTGACAGTCTCTGCCGTAGTGGTTTTTGCAGCACTTCTGGACCCAGCCCGGGAAGCTGCACACTCGCTTGCAACCGATGTTTCGGAGCGGGCTCAGGGGGTTGTCCAGGTCGGCGGACCAGCGCATGTAGCCCAGCGAGTACCTGCTGCGACTTCTCAAGCAGCTCTCCACACGGCCCTGAAACGCGACATACTTCACGTCCTCCGTTTTGGGCATTGGTGGTTGAAACGAGGGGGGGGTCTTACCATGTCCTGGTGTCGGATGGGGCAGGGTGGAGGGTAGAGACAGCGGCCACAGCGGCCCTGTATGGACGCAACACATCATATTCCGCAAGCGGAACACATTTTGTGTTACAGTAAAGCCAAATGTAGATGAAGTCGCGGTACAAATGTAGCAGCTCTGGCTAACGTTGGTGTTTACTCGCTTAGCATTGTTAGCGTGTTGCTATTTCGTTGGCAGTCGAGGTAAGCATTGTCGATGACAACGTGCTTACCTCGAACATTTTTCATAATCGCAGGACACTACGAGCGGTCGTGTTTGTGACTCGTGCACGTGAGCGAGGGGCGTGGCTTTCAGACACCCGAGGCGGGTGTGCGGGCTGCCCCATGGCGTACGGAACGCGGGTACTTTGTGGGATCGGGGGACAAGATGATGCCGACGTGTCTGCGGTACTGACATAGGTGGTTCTGTTCTCGATGCTGTCGCAGTGCGCCCCCAAGCCGGGCGGCTCCAGGAGCTGGTCGATGCCGTAGGCGACGCCCTCGTCAAAGCTCAGGTAGCGCTCCACCACCTTGGCTGCGTTTTCATTGATCAATATGTCGCCCTACATCAGACCAAGCAAGCACACAACGATGCAATAACACCGCACTTGAAGCGTTTTTGCCGAATTTCCGTTTTTGAAGGACGGCTGCTCTGATTGCGAGGGCAGATCGCCACAATAAGGCTCTTCATGCAAAATATCATCACCATGGCAATGCCAGACAACAATTGTTACCATAGCAACACGGCGTGTGTGTGTTTTTTCCTCACCACCAGGGATTTGTCACAGCTATACTTGATTCTTGATCCATGCATGGTGCGGAAGGATGAGTATTTACTTGGCTGACTGACACCCAGAACCTACGCACGAAAGCACAAATGTGTTATGGCGCCCAGGCGGCCATTTTCGTGGGGCGCATTGGAGTCCCGTTACCCTGGCAGTGCGTATGATGTGCGCTTTGACGGTGGCGGCCAGCTCCTCCTGGTGGTCGGGACTGGAGAGCCAGCGTTGCCTTTCGGGGGGCAGCGAGCTGAGGACTCGGTCGGTGGGCCAGAATATCGTGAAGGGACGGTGGATGGATGACTGCAGCACCGGAAGCAGGCCGGCGCGCTGCACCCACAAAAATAAATATAAAATCAATAAATCGATGCTGACAAACACGCGGACGGTGGCAGTGATGGATGGCTGAGTGGAAGGAGAAAGGGGAGGAAGAGAAGTGGAAAGAGAGGACATGATGGGAGAAGATGGTTGGATGACAGATGGATGGAAGAATGAATGGACGGTATGATAAACGTGTACATGCAGGTGGCGGATTAAATGATTGATAGGATGCATGTGGAATCAGAGATGGATGGATGGATGTGTAATAGGCGAATGGAAGATAGACACATAACGGATGGCAGCGTGATGGATGGACAGATAAGTGCCTGGATGGATGGCAAAGAGCTGATCTGACAGGTTGACGTCATTGCAGGTTTACCTCGATTAACTTGTAGAAACTGCTGTAGCCGTAAAATTGAGCGGCCGCCGTGAAGTTCATCTGGAAGGAAGGAAGGAAGGCGGAAAAGAAAAAAGGAAAAAAGGAGAGGAATGGTAAGAAAGAAAAAGGGAAGAGAAAGAAAGAAAGGAGGTAAGGCTTCTCGCTTGAATAGTCGGTTGGTGTTGGCATCGAAAGCCGCTTGAGCATTTTATTCAATTTCCATCTTCGGGTCGGTGGACGAGTGCACTCTGTCTTCACGAGTAAAACGAATTTAACGCACTCGTAGAACAACGTAGGCCTGCACATGCCTCACTGTTAACACGCATTTGTCCTACTAGCATGCCAACGTTGTCCATGTACCCGTGTGCTCTTTCAACAACACAAATGGAAACAAACACACTCAAATCAAATGCACAACGCCTCCCACCACACATTTGTGAGCAAAATGGTGAGTAGCGCCACCTTGCCGATGCGCTGTTTGGTGCTTAGCTTGTAGGGAGTCAGCATGTTGCTGATGTAGTGGATGACGCCGTTGGATGTGGCGTAGTCGCTCTTGACGATCCGAGAGGCGCTGTTGATCCACACCGAGCCCTGGCGCACGCAAACACACACGCACGTGTACAAATGTACACGCTGTTAGCTGGATGCTAACTAACGCTGGTTTGGAAGCAGCGGCGTTCCTTCTATGCTAAGCGGCACAGTCAACAGAATGTGCGAGTGTGTTTATAGGCGTGTGTGCTAGTGAGTATCGATGTTGTGGTGTCTGTTTTTATTTCTTCCAATCATTTATTCAACCTTTGAAGTGGTCACTCATGCTAAAAATGAGCTGAACGCTCCAGGTTTGAATGTGAGTATATATCTCGAGTACGGCTAATGGCAGACATAAACGTAAACGAATGGGACATCATCATCGTTATTATGATAGTGTGTGTGTGTGTGTGTGTGTGTGTGTGTGTCTGTTTTTATTTCTTCCAATCATTTATTCAACCTTTGAAGTGGTCACTCATGCTAAAAATGAGCTGAACGCTCCAGGTTTGAATGTGAGTATATATCTCGAGTACGGCTAATGGCAGACATAAACGTAAACGAATGGGACATCATCATCGTTATTATGATAGTGTGTGTGTGTGTGTGTGTGTGTGTGTGTGTGTGTGTGTGTGTGTGTGTGTGTGTGTGTGTTTGAAAGACACTTTCAATAATGCAAATGAATGATTGCACTCTTGTGTTTCTCTGTCACAGGCCACAATTGATCCACATCTTTCAGAAGTTTGTTGTTAAAAATCAGCAAAGATAAACATTTTAAATGTTATTATATTGAATTGTATTTCCAGCATCAAAGTTCTCAAATTTGAACATACACAGCTTTTTTTTCAGGAAAAAAAAAACACTTTGATTTTCATCTTCAGCAACTTTTGATATAGCTCAGTTAGCTCAGAGTGCTTACGAGGGCTGAACAATTTAGAAAAATAATAACTGCAATTTTTTTATTTTTGCCTTCATGATGCAATTTAATGTGTGATTATTTGTTCCTGTTTATTAACAGGTAAACAATAATTATTAATATCGGATGAATGATACATTCATCTTCTCTTGGCCCCAGACGACCGCAGACCTTGGAGGGAACCACGAGAAAGGACAGACTCAAGATGGCGGCTGTTATTACACACAGTGTTATACGATTCGTTGTTGTCGACGGGGACGAAGACGGTGAACGGCCCGTCGCCGTAAAGACCACGAGCATCTGACTTCTGGACAAAATATAAGCACAAAAAAAAAAAACAAA